CCAGTTCACCAAACTGCTCAGAAAGTTAACAACCGGTTGTCCTGAAGTGGTGCAAACTGGCTGAATCCCACCACTGAGATTATGTCTATTTCATATGTGGTAGTCATTGATATGCAAACAAACAAATTTTCCTTTCTCATATGATTTTATACTAAAACTGATTCTGTTAGAGGACAATTTGTTCTCCTTTTTTGGACAGACCTTGGTATCTTATACCGCGGTCCCCAACTTTGAGGCTTGGTGGCCTGGCTGGGGAGGAGACAGGGGAATTGGGCTGCATGAACGGTGGGCCTGCCCTGTGCATGTGTTCATGTAGCCCTCGGGTGAGTGGTGGGCTGGTGCACATGTGCGGCTTGAGTTGCACAAGTGGTGGGCTGGTGTGCATGAGTGCCTGCCAGCCTGCTGCTTGTGCAAGTTGAACAGTGCACGCATGCACGCACTCAGTCCAGTCACTCGCATGGCCCAATTCCAAATAGACCATGGCCTGGTAGTGGACCACGGCCTGGGGATTGAGGACCCTTGCCTTATATTGCAGATTATTATGACTAGAGAGCAACCTTGAAAGTAATTTCAGACGAGGTAGCCAGTATTAAGACAAATTAAGTCTAAATACAAACTGTCTTAAAGTAAAGGAAAAAACAAGATTTTTCAATATAGCAAATTGATTTGATTTGTTGATTCAGATTAGTGTTGAAAACTGTCTTGAACTGGATTCTCAAATCTATTCAGTCAGCCAGTTTACTAAAAGCCATCTCTACACATGGGCAGAAGTGTCTGAATCATCCAGATCAATTGGGAACTGTGTGATTAGATTTGAGTTCCTCATCCGAGAAGATTTGACTTGACTTGTCTTCAAAGGGAATCTCTGAAAGGAATTTTTTCCCTCAGCCCTCATATTGTGCAATTAGAGAGATAAGAATCTTAAAGCAAGATACATTCATTGATACACTAGATGAAACAACTCTACACCAACTGGGGCATAGATCATAGGTCATAATTTCAAAGGAGTGAATGGTAACATTAAAATTGGTCATGTGTTCGTGGAAAGCCCTCGCAAATAAAGCTCTATTCATAAATTACAGAGATTAGTGAAAATAGCAACAAAACCACCACTCCTTCTGTGCCGACATACATAATAGTTCATTACTATTCTTTAATTAACCCACATCCCTCTTAACCATGCTATATTTGATAGGAGGTAGCCAGAAATACTTACTCACAAAGGTAAGGAGCTTTCTCTTTCTTACTGCATATATATAAAACAAGGCTTTTCAGATAAAACTTTTGGTAACCAAATTGGACTATATGAGGCAACAGAAGAACTGAAGTCAGGACCCAAGATGGAAAACAATAAAGAGAATATTTGGAAAGGTCAGATAAGGTTAATAGAGTAGTCATATCATCAGTAGATAATTGGGTAGAAGATTTAATTCTTAACCCATGCCCATATGCTCCAAGGTAAATTCTATTGTGTTTAGTCAAGTACCTTCTAAGATAATTAAGTGCACCATGGAATCAAATATACTTTTTAAAATAGCAGAAATATTGTTAAAAGCCATCTGAAACTACCCCTTATCCATTGGAGGGGACAGTGAGAAATATAAAAAGATAAAGGGGAAAATAAATTTGAATTTATTCTTTCCCTTGAAGTTTGTCTACTGATCTATCTGTCCATCTGTCCACCTATTTATGTTGGCTACAAGTTGTCCCATATATTTATTTGAGGATTGAACTATAGTTATATTTACATCAAATGATATCTTTAAAAAAAGATTGTGAGTGATAACAACATACTCAATTTTGCACAAGTACTGGGAAAATTGCCAAACTATTAATTCCTCAATCCAATAAAATAGTAAAATGCAAGCCATACAAAAAAGAAAAGAAAAGAAAGAAGGAAAAAGAAACCAAAGAAATCTGGATTAATTCATATAGCATAGATACATTTCATGACATCTATGATAAAGGAAAACTTAGGAATTTGTTTTCAGCACTCACATTGCACAATGCTCTCAGATATTCCACACAAACACCTGCTATTGGTAACCCAAGTCTTTTTCTCAACTTTTAAAATTAAGACAGGAGTGGAACTATTTTGCTGATCAACTGCAAATCTTTTACGAATTTAATAACAGATTTTCCTTCCGCCTACCCTATCCTTAGCCATCTATCTATATTGTCATAATAAGGGGATTTTGATAGTGAAAAACCAGTCAGAATGACAATAATTGTTACAGAGGGATGGAACATGGATAAGATTTCTGGTCAGCACTGGCTGAAAATCTTTGGATAGGTAAGAAGATGCAAATTAGGGACTCTCTCCACACACACACGAAATAATGTTAGAAAATAAATGAAAAAGAGTATAAATAAAGGAAGAAAACTGGCCTTTCAGAGTTGAAGTTCAGGACCTTGGTGGGAAGATTCCTAATTTTTATTAAATTGTGTTGATCCATAACAACCAACCATAAAGATAGACAGTCTTCAAACTTTGTAGACAGACAAGAAAAATTAAGGATTCCTAGTTTTATTTTTAAAGGATATATTTCAATCGCCTTCTGAAAATTATGTTTTCCCAAATAGCACAATATTGATATTTATTGTTGTTGTTATGAATGAGTTAACATGTAACATCTCCATGTAAATGGTAAGATGTTCACCTTCTCCTAAATCATGTGCAAAGTCTGTGAAACATCCTCCTGAGATGAAATATGCCAATAAAAAAGCATACATACAGCTTGTTCCCTTAGTCTAATCTAAATCATACTTAAATTATGCTTATGTCAGAGATACTCCTTGGATAGTTTTACGTTTCTTAGGAATTTAAGAAGTCTAAAAGCACAACATTCTTCTATCTACACATGCAATAAAAACTAAACATAAAAAGGAATATGATAAACCCACAAAGGTATCTCTTAACAGATTTTATTGATGTCAAGCTTGAATCCATTACCCTGCCAGTTATCTGTGGCAAATAATAACGAAACAAATATTCTTAGTAACCAAACCTTTTAGAGACCAGAATTAATACATAGATCACCCATGGAGAACAATTCTGCTGAGAACAAAGAATGTGATTTCCAACATGATCCCTTCCAGAGGTATGGGTATTGAAAGACCCAGAATTCCCAGCCACAAGGAACACCAAATGAATTCCATAGGGCTTAATTTCTCTCTCTTTCTCCCTCTCTCTCTCTCTCCCTCCCTCCCCCTCCCTCCCTCTCTCTCTTTAATTGGGCAAGGACAGGCAATCACTCCTGACAACTGGCCTTTTTGCAGCCTGTTGTCACCCATTCATGGAATTTGCAGAAAATTCCCCAGATTCTAAAACCTATGTGGTGTTTAATGCAGTCTAAAAAGCAACTACATGCCGTAGTTCTTTGTGTTAATAGATACTTATAGATACTAGAGCTTGTGTAGTTCAACAACTATTCAGAAAAAGTGTTTTGACCATAAATACAGGGAGTCCTCGACTTACAACAGTTCATTAAGTTTCAAAGTTACAAAACCATTGAAAAAAGTGACATGACCATTTCCCACAGTTACAACCTTTTGTAGCATTCCCCATGATCATGTGATCAAAATCCAGATGCTAGGCAACGAGCTTATACTTATGATCATTGCAGCCTACCAGGGTCATGTGATTACTTTTTTCAAGTAATTGTTCTTGACAAGCAAAGTCAATGGGGAAGCCAGATACACTTAACAACCAGGTTACTAACTTATCAACTGCAGTGATTCACTTAACAACTGTGACAAATAATATCGTAAAATGGGGCAAAACTCACTTAACAAATTCTCACTTAACAACATACATTTGGGTCTCAATTGTGGTAGTAAGTTGAGGGAGTATCTGTACAATATGCCTGTACTTCCAACCACTGTGTTTGTATCAGTTACAGCAAGTAACTAGTAAGTGTAATAAAGCTTGTGTATTGCTTCTGCACTTCTGTCAGATGATATTCCTATTATTATGCTGAGTCTAAAACACCCTGTACATTGTTAAGTCACACGGTGAAACATTTCTCTGATCTAAAGTCTTCCAACTGAGTATTTAAAAAGCTCATTGAACTACAGGTTGCAAACTGAAAAAAAGCAACCTTGCTTTGTATTATGAAGTATTTACTATTTTGACATTTTTGGGAAATGCTAAAAAATATGCTGTCTCTACTAAAGCATGATTCTTTGGGGTGTGTCTGAGCATCAACAAAAGAAGAGTGCTCGTATATGACAAGAAATGCTTATGGCTGCAAATTTAAAGCATGTATAATAATAGCCTTGCAGCCTTTTCATTGCATAGACTTGCACACTGTGTTTTTATTGTTATCGCTGTTTTGCTCTTCTTCTTCCAAATAGTCTATCTTTTTCTGAGACATGTAATCCTTATTCCAGGTAGTAGAGAAGCAGCGTTCACCTATGCCATCATTGCTGCTGGAGTAGCCCATGCCATCACTGCTGCCTGCACCCAGGGGAACCTGAGCAATTGTGGTTGTGACAAGGAAAAGCAAGGACAGTACCACAAAGACGAAGGATGGAAATGGGGAGGATGCTCTGCAGACATCCGATATGGAATAGGATTCTCCAAAGTGTTTGTGGATGCAAGGGAGATTAAGCAAAATGCAAGGACTCTCATGAATTTGCACAACAATGAAGCTGGGCGTAAGGTAGGCACCTTTGCTACGCTCCTAATGTGGCCGAGCAAATTATTTTGTATTATGTATGTGCATGTGCTATGAAGGTAATGTCACTTCCCATTTAACAAGGATGTGAATTTGCATATCAATGGAACGGACTTTCAGGAAATTATTTGTACAAGGGGGATGTATCACAATAATAAAGCAGGAAGCAACAAGAAGAAAAACATATTCATAATGAAATAATATTTTAACATTAATCATGCATGTAGCTCAGTGATCAGATTTTTTTCCTTTACTTATGACTTATTTATTATTCATGAAGTAATGAGTGCGTCATATGTGTAAGATGGTAAGATAAAAAGTTAGTACCAAACTGTTGCTTTTAAATCATAATTCTGTTTGGAACAACTCAATGCAGGGAATAGATCTCATGGTTAGAATGTACTTTTCTCATTCTGTATGAAAAACTGTAAAATTGGCAAGATGGGACTGAAAAAATGATTATATATATATATAAAAAATATATTTTTTACAAATTTAGAATCCCCAGAATAATTTCATAATTTGATGTTTGGTCAGAATTTTTCATTTCTGACACATGATCTGTTACCAATAGTACTAGCACTTAGACTTGTATATAGCGCTTTACAGTGCTTTACAGCCCTCTTTAAGCTGTTTACAGAGTGAGCATATTGTCCTCATTTTACTGACCTTGAAAGGATGGAAGAGTGAGTCAGCTTTGATCTGGTGAGGTTCAAACCCCTGGCAACTGGCTGAGTTAGCCTGCAATTTTGCATTCTAACCACTACAACACCACAGCTCCTGTTTCTTGGAAGCATGGCAGTAATCCCCCACCCCCACCCCGATACAGCCATGGGAACATCCATTGTTCTCTTTTACCACACATAAGGCTTAGGTTTTGCTGAATAGTGATGGCATGGGCTACTGATGATAATTATTTCTATTTAACAAATTTTGAATATAGCACCTTCGGGACATTCTAGGACCTTTATTTAGGTCTTTGTATCATCTTTACCATTTGGTATTTATTCTAAATTCATGTATATTGCATATCGTGTAACATACTTTTGATCAAGTAGATTGTAACCCATAAAAATTACTATTATATTTGGCCTTAGAATTCCATGGGATTTTTTTCTTGTTATTTTTACTACAACTGGCATAACAATATTTTCTTTTCAAAGACAATACAATAGTTCTCCACAATAGAGCAGAACTAATACTATACTTAAATATTAACGTGACAATTCTCCTATAATATCTACATAACAGCAGTCACTGAATGTCACCGAAATGACAAAATGTGCATTTTGACATCTCAATGCAAGCTCTGTCTTTATATGCTTTTGTTATAACATAGTCAGCAATTATGTAAGGAATTTGTGTCACAATGTCACAGCGCACATTTTTCCACCTTGCTTCCCTTATAGACATCTTTTAGTGTGGCACAATTGTGTATGTGAGAACTGTTCAGGCTGGGAAGCATGTGTGTGTGTGAAACTGAATTCAAAGCATTGCATAGTTGTTAGAAATATAATCTAACGGTTGGGTTGGCAATATATAAATCATGTAACAATGCTGTACCTGTTTCTTTAAATCATGCTGTAAATGTGATTGGTTGCTGTTTCCTCAAGCGGCCATAAGATGGAGCCAGAATCACTGTTAGATGCTGATCTGATCTGAGTGTTTGGAAGCTGGCTGTTAGAAGTGCCATATAGTGATCAGCGTGAGCTATTGTAAGTTTTGAGACTGCTAGCAAACTTTGTGTACTGGACTGTTTGTATGATTATGGACTATGTTATTTGGATTATACCTTAACTGAAAGATGTTGATGACTGACTGTCTTAACCGTGTATGATTTGGACTGTTTGATGGACTCTGATACCTCTATTTCCACGAAACTATTTAAACTGCAGTGTCTCTGTATGCTGGTTTGTGTGTTCTCCAACAACACTCTCACAACGCTTCTCTGAATGCACTCGCTCTCCCAATGGGGATTTTACCTAACAATAGTCCTAATGTGTATAGTGAATTTTCACACATTAAAATTTTGTTGAATGTCATGTGAACAGATGTATTCTTTGCTGTATTCATACAAGTTTCAGTAGAGCATTAGAGTCCCAGATTGTTGGTAGAAAAATCAGTCTTTCAGAGCAAGGCTGATAAGCACTCACCTTTATCTCCCTTTAAACACTGCCAAAGACCTAAATGCCAATTAATTTTGCAAGGCCAAATGGAGCACAATGTCAAACAGAGTTTCTCAGAGTTTGAACTGACCAGAATGAACAAAATTGCTTTCTGCAAAGGCTCACATCCGTTTGCTCCTCTTTTATGTCTTATCGGATGAGCCAATCATCTCCAAGCTTTACTCCTGGGTTGCTGTTTTTGTCTTAATTGTTCTTGCCTTCTGGAAGCTCTGCGCATGCACACAGTAGGAACAGGCTCACACTGTTCTTCCGTCTCGTTGATGTCAGATTCCAAGAGACTCCAGAGGCAGCACATAACTCCCAGATGGTCCTGGCTCCCTCTCTGCCTCCAACACAGAGCCCTTGTCCGAGCCTTCCTCAGACTCCAAGACTGGCCCATGTTGCTCCCCAACCTCCTCACCGTCCAACTCTGCTGCCAGCTCCGCAGACTGCCAATGTACCACAACACACACTAGCATTCAAATCAGGGGTGAAATTCAGCAGGTTCTGAAGAACCGGTAACGAAAATTTTGAGTAGTTTGAAGAACCGGCAAATACCACCTCAGCTGGCACCAGAGTGGGGTGGGAATGGAGATTTTGCAGTATCCTTCCCCTGCCTCGCCCATCAAGCCATGCCCACAGAACTAGTAGTAAAAATAATTGAATTTCACCACTGATTCAAATATATAAATTGTAATGCAAAAGTGGCTGGTAGATACATACTTTTGGCAATATAGTGTACTTAAATTGCATTTAATACTAATAATCAACAACTTTCACTTTGTAGAATGCATTATTAGGGAAAATCGCATGTGTGCTATTTTTGGCCCTATAACATTTCCCCCACAAGTTTAAAGGATGTTTAATGGGCAGATACTTATATATTTGCCCAATGTGGAACGATTGTATTGATTTTGGGATTATTGGCAATTTCTTGTTTCTATAATCCAGCATAAGACTAGTTAACAGTATTAAAGAAATCCATACGAGCTCATTTATGTAGATACTAATAACTTTGATGTTTATTTCAGCTATTTAAATGAAGGTTCACAAAATATAAACATTGGTGAAATGGTATTTTTAAATGTAGAATTTACTTACCGGATAATAAAATATTTAATATAAAAATCAGATCAAATTGCTATACCATTTGACTTTTTTTTTCAAAGTATTTGATTTGGAATATAATTACATGCCAAAGAGTTCTTTTGTTGTTGTTAAGGCATACCATAGTTATCACTGAGATATGAAAAATTGCTTATTAGAATACTCTACAATCAAATTCCATTAGTGCAGTTTTAATATAATTACATTAATCATTATTTGGTGATGATTGTTAATTAGTTATTTCCATTTCAGTACAATGCATAGTTTACTCATTTGAGGATGCTGGGATATCTTTACTCATTTGGGGATAATTATATCTTAACCATCTCTTTCCTAATCCATTAGTTAAAATAGTGAGGAGAAGAAAGTATTTGATGAACAGAAAATGGCCAAGCAATTATTATATGAAGGTCATCATATGACACAATTCATTAGCCTGTCTCTCCTCCCCCGATCTTATTTCAATTGGATAGATAATCTAGTTTGAATATTTTTGATGAAATATCATGAGTTGATTTGAGGTTCATCTGATTATTTGATTACAAGGTGGTGGAAGGGAATGTGTCAGGAATATTCTGTACTTAAATGGTCAATGGTTTCACAGGGAATATCCTTTCTTTCAGAGTTCTTTTCTTGCTACATTCCATTAAGAGCAATATTAACAATAACAACATTTTCTGAGTTAATTATGCCATCTACTCATTTATTGTGCATAGTAAAATAATCTAGGAAGAACTTTATCAGATCAGTTCAAGAAACTTATTGTACTTTATCCTTGTTAAGTGCCCACTAGTTGTCATTATAAAACTTCAAGAAGGATATGAAGGCAATATCTTCTTGTTCTTTGCCAATTATCCAGAGCTACTCAATCTACTGATTTTTGTAGTATAAAGAAGAACTATGGTTGATTGTGATCTACCAACTTTCATTGAAGGATGTTATAAACTAGCCTTTTGACTTCAGCAATCTGAACTTCAACAGAATTAACTATTCATCTAAAAGCCAGAAATCAATTAAATTAAACATGTATCCAGTGCAGGGGTGGGTTCTGACCAGCGTTATTGCTGGTTTGCTCTTGTGTGCGCATGTGCAGAATGTGTGTTGTGCACGCATGCACAATTCAATGGAAATTGCTCTGCGCATGCACAGAACTAAAAAAAGAGATGGCGGCGGTGACGGTGGCAACCAGGGAACCAGCTTGGAGGCGTGTCCAGCCTGGGTCACTGCCAGTTCTGTGAACCAGGTCAGCATACCACTACTGGTTTGGCTGAACCGGGATGAACCGATAGGAGCCCACCTCTGATCCAGTGGTTTAGCCAGCTAAAGTTGATCCTGTACAAAAAAAGTATTATGGATAGGGCCCTTTTAAAGATCTATGATAATTATCACAACATTAAAATACATAATTAACATTTCTTCTCTGTATCATGATCCTGCATGTGGCATATAATGTGGTATGTAATCTAAACACAACTCATTGTCAGTATTGATAAATACACAATCAGAGCAGGTGGAACACTGTGATCAGTGGTGGGATTCAGCCAGTTTGCACCTATTTGGGATAACCGGTTGTTAACTTTCTATGCAGTTCGGAGAATTGGTGGTTGGAAGAAATCTCCTTTTGGTTTTTTCCATTTTTACAGGGCTAATCCTGTAAGGAAGGCAGGAAGGAAACATTCTGGAGTTGTTTCTAGCCTAATCTTTATTGCCCTG